AACTTACATTCGGGTCACAATCAAGGAGGATTCCCTCCTTTTCTTAGGATAGTCCATTCAAAGGACTCCTTCAGAAGCTAGGAAGGGGAATATCACTAGAGCATGGTGGAACTCCTCAGCAACTTCCTTTAAGAATACATCCTCCTCTGTGGGGGCGACCTCATAATTTCCTCTATGTTAGAAAATATTTTATTCATCTTAGTCAGTCAAGTCTTCTATGTAATTTTATCTAGCTAAAGGCACACATCTCATGCAAAAGCAACTCTCACTGCAAGATCATCACCGACCTCAGAGATCAACGTAATATCATCACGCTCCCCCTCTTACTTTAGTGAGGCGACCTCAGACCACTTCCTATATCACATTGACTCGATCTCTATATACTGATGGGTTAATCTACCCCACATCGTCTCCCACAAGTTTGCTATACCACTTGGCACAACTAGTCAGAGCTGCATCAAAGATCAATATTACGACTATTGCAATCCATACACATTCTACTATAACTTTCCAAACTATATAAATAGGAGGGGGATATAAAAAGAGGACACACAACACACGACCTCAATCTCAATGATGAAGAAGGGGAAACTCAAAACAACTCATGCCCTTAGTCCCAACAACAAAATATGTATCTTAAGAACAACACACAATGAGATCCCGCAACAACAAGAGATGATGACACTACTGTGAAATAGAGAGAGATAAAAGAGATGTTGTTTTTCTTTGTTTATCCTAACCTCTATAAGATAAAGCACGCCCCTCTCTCATTCTTTTACTTCTACTTAAGACATTAAAGATTTTGACCAAATATATTCTCTATTATCCTCTCTTTGTTTCTACCTCCATCATCCTCACACACAAGTCCTTAGCTGACATGTAGGATCATAAAGTATGGACTGCCATCATCAACTAGGCAAATTTGGATTCAATAAATACGCGTCCTAAAAATTCACCTTGATCGAGCATGAATATCGTGGCACATTTGACTTGAAACTTTCAAGATTTAATTCAAGACCATTTGAACTCCAACTTTAGCAAGCTTATAATCGAACTGATTATCTCAATAAGATGAACCCAAAAATATCAAAATTAGTTCTATCCGAGCCCAAATGAGCCCAAATAAGCATATTTGGAAGCTTGAGGACATTATGTAATTGATTGAATGATCTTCAAATTTGGCAAGCTTATATTTGAATCAAGCTGCTCAATGAGATAAATTCAATGAATCTAAGATTTCTTGATTCGAACACCATTTAGGCACATATTACATGAAGAAACAATCCAAGATTAGGGGAATCAATATAGATCGTCTGATGGAGTACTCCGAATTTGAATCAAGCTTATATTCCAATCCTAACCATGTAATGCATTCTATACAATGTATATTTTCTATATTGTGTCAATGTTGGGCATCATTTGTAATCAACGACAAACACTAGTGGAATCGTTTCAATAGGGTCGGATCCCATGATTTTTCATGTTCCAAGGTTTTCCACATAAAAATTTGGTGTCTCTTATGCTTTTTGCACCTATCTCTTATATGTGTGTGCTTTAGATCTTCTTGCAAAGTTAGGTTTTCCACATAAACTCTCTATCTCTCTACAACCGCGAATGTTCTGGCACGCAACAAGGATTTGTAAGGAATTGCAAGTAAAAAAACTATTAGTACATAGTTTTTAGATGTACTCAATTACATATTAATCATAGAGGAATCAAGCACCATTATGAAGTTCAGAAGTTAAATCCTTTGACATTTATCCCAATTATTTCATCAAAACATACTATATATAAGTGCTAGGAAATTGTTCAAACACTTTACGGTTTTCTGGATAATTTGGTGTGAAGAATTGTTTCTTAGAGCTATTCAATTTCTTCACTTTACCCACCGCTGCTTAGCTCATGTGGGGGAGCTCAGCTGGGCAAAGTCCAGGTCCCGGGATCAAATCCCATAGGCGGCTGTGATAGCTTTAAGTGTCAACCCGGATAAATTAGTGTGGGTTGTCTGATAAGTCGACCGGGATTTACTCTCCGCTTTGCAGAGTGGTTCCTCATTAAAAAAAAAAAAAAAATCTTCACTTTCTCTTATTCCTAGTCAATAAAATTGTCTGGGATGACACTATAAGGAAAAGTGTTCCCTCTTTCGTAGAATTGTTACAAACAAAGAAGGTTGGACCAGTCAATGTCTGATGCTTTCTTTCTTAGAATTGATACAATCAAAGAATATTTCTGGGGGGCTGAACGGCAGCAACTTTATATTATTCTGAAATTTAAATAACTTGTGTGTCACGCCTCAACCTCGATACTTTTTAAAAATAAAAAAATAGAAAAAAATAAAAAATAAAAATCTTCAACCTGGATACTTGCCTCTTAAGAATTTATCGACCAGAGTCAATCTCTGTGTCGGTCTGGTCTGGTCAAAGTGCCTAATATTTGAATGAAGATAAAGGCATAGCACAAGTAAAGGCGTTATGCTAGTAGTAAGGAACTTACTGGAGGAATTCCTGAACTTTTCTTCCTTCTCTATATACCAAAGTCTGTTACTGTCTTCAACTATAAATATTGATGGACACTACAGGTCATGCATACAGAAGCTCTACCTGAGTGGTTAAGAACAACAAAAAAGATGGCAGTGAAGACCATTCTCAGTTTCTTTTGCATCAAGAAGAGAACTCGTTTTCTCCAAGAAGAAGCAGAAGCTAGTCAGAGCCACCCGTGCAAGATCAGGCCAAGCGATGAAGATCGACCGAACTGGTATGCTGAGCCTGACATCGACAAGAAAGCAAAAGATTATATCATGAAGGTTCGTCAGAAGATGGATCAGTCTGGCAACTCAGACCAGTTTAGTTGATCAGTTACTGAAAGTACTTCTGTTGTATGTATCCTCTATCATAAACTAGGCTCTTAGCAGTTATCTTAGATTATCGGCGGTCAAATAATTGCTGGAATTACCGGCGGTACGCCACCGACGCTAGGACCGCCGGAAATGACTGGCTGTCTTGGCCGCCAGAAAATTTAGCCGCCGGAAATTTGTTTCCTACGCGGTTTATATCGGTGGTTAACAAGCCGCCGGTAGTTTTCAAAATCGTTGGAGACTTTATACTAACTGTCGGAAAAAACCGACGGTAATTGATAATTTTCCTGTAATGTTATTTACTATCTGTTGACTAAGTATAATGGATACTTTCATGCACTAAAATTCTTACAAGAAAAATGAAATTCATAGTTTGCTTGTATGTAATAGATGCTACTGAGCATAACTTGTATATCTATTACTTGATTCTTCCTTTGCGATGCTCTTGTTTAGCAAGAGCCCAGCTATTTGAAATGCTTACTTTTATTTTTCTCCTAAAATTAAAAGGTTTGTTTGGCTGCCTTATAATAAAATGTAGATGTAAGAGCTTAATTTCTCAAATTGAAATAAAAATCAATTAATGAACTCTAAACACGTATTGAACTGCCGTCAATCTGGTGAAATAGCATTGATGTTTTTCCTTGCACAACCATCAAATTATAAGCAGAACTAAGAACAAGATTGCTTAAGGAGAAAAGGTGGCCAACAAGCTATGCCCACAACTATCAGCCTGATGATTAGATATCTAGTCTTTAAATCTAATAGAAACTTCGCATCCACTTCTTAATTGTTTCTTAATTATTATGTTTATTAACCAAATCTCAATGAGATAAAATATTCAAAATACTCATTTTCACCCTTAGTATTCAAAATACTCAATTTCAAAATAGGATTTTTTTAGGAAATGAGATGCAGTTTTTTACCTTGAGTATCACCATGAAAAGAAATCTAGCATAATCTTTATCGATAAATTTACAAGAGGACTTAGGTAAGATAGATCCCCTAATCCAATAGGTGATATAGCTCCAAATATTGAACCTAATAAATTTTAACCTACCAACAAAGGACAAAAGCTTGGCACTCCAACCATTTAACATATTGGAGATCTTATACATAAGGGGAAGAAAATGATCCACCCTAAGTTTCCTGAAGGAGATAGAAATCTCAAAATATTTAAAAATAATATCAAAATATTTAAAAATACCCTCCCTGAGAGGTGAATTACACAACAAGCCCGATGCATTCCTCCACTTCAACCATCCAACTTAAATTTTACTAATAATATCCCCATCTATTTCACTAGCACTCTGAACAATAAACCCATGATATCTAAAATGAGTGTTCTTATTAATAGCTTGATCGTCCAAAGTCATAATCCCCTCACTAGATCTATCATTACTAAAATTACACTCCATATATTAAGTTATAGATCTACTCAAATGAAAGCCTTTAGACTTTAAGGCTAATCTCCATAATTCAAGTTTTTACCTTCAACTTTCTCTCTTCTAGTTTTATCAAAAAGAAGAATATCATCAGCGAAAAGCAAACGCCTGGGTACATTCTCTAAGAAATGCCTATTAAGAACATCAATGACTAAAGCAAAAAAAAAAAAGGGGTTAAGGCTAATCCTTGATGTAATCCAACTAAAATAGAAAAATACTTGGTCAAATCACCTTGTGTTTGAACACAAGTAACATCTTCAATATAATATCCTTAATGACTTGAATATAAGCATTATTAACCCCTTTATTATGTAGAACACTCCATAGCACTTCTTTTGAAACTTTATCATATGTTTTCTCTAAATCAATAAAAATCATATGTAGATTCTCCTTATTCTCTCTATACTTCTCCATCAAACCTCTAATAAATAAATTACTTCCAATTGTGCTCGTGAGAAATAACAAGGAAAAGCTTAAGATTATTTGATTTTTAAAAAAATAGATTTATTTTCTACATTTTTTTATTCATTTTTTTAATTTTTTATTAAAAAAAATAAATCGTGTAATTATTAAAAAGCACACTTTCACAGAAAACTTTTTTTCAACCAATATTATCACTAAATAATGATAAAATAAATTGTTCTCCTTCACTGGACAAAATTTCAATTAAATACTTAGTAAATCCGAATATAAATAGCATAATATGTTACATTAATGCGAATATTTCCATTCATCGCCATTGCCATTTTCATCACAAACAAATAGCTCCCTCTAAATCCAACCACAAATCCACCGCACGCACGAATTGAATTGAAATGGTGAACGAGAAAGATCAAATATCCCCATCTTTCTCTTGCACCTCCTCCCTTTTTTCCTATAAATAGAAGCCATAGAACCAAAAGGAAACCTTAAACTAACCAAAAAAGGAGGAGCTAGCATCAGCAGCACTGAAAGGCGGCAATGGCGAGGAGAAGGTTGAAGCTTGCGTGGATAAGCAACGAGGCGACGCGGCGAGCCACATTAAAGAAGCGGCGCAAGGGACTGCTGAAGAAATTGAAGGAGCTCTCAATCCTCTGCAACGTGAGCGCCTGCGCCGTCCTATACAGCCCCAACGAACCACAACCGGAAGTCTGGCCCTCCGCTCCGGAAGCAACTGGAATACTCTCCCGCTTCCGCGCCATGCCGGAGATGGAACAGTCAAAGAAAATGATGAACCAAGAGAGTTTTTTCAGCCAGCGAGTTGCGAAGCTCCAAGACCAGCTCCGTCGTCAAGACCGCGAGAACCGCGAGCTTGAATCCGCAGCGCTGCTCTGCGAATGCATTGCTGGCGCATCTGTAAATAACGTCGGGATCGAGGAACTGGCGGCCATGGCTTGGCTTCTCAACCTCAAGACCAAGGCGGTTCAGGACCGTATAGACCATCTCCGCATCGCCGCCGCGCTCAAGGGGCCGTTGCTTTTAAGGGATGATAAGTCGAGCACGTATTACAATGAGGCGATGCGATGGCTCGCCAACGGTGGCGATGGGGGTGCTGCAATGGCCCGGGTGCAGAACTACCGGCAGATGGCCGGTCAGTTGAGCGGTGTTGGAGGAGGGAGCGGCGGAGTGGTGGTTGGTGATAATGTTTTGACGGCGGCGGCGGCGGCGGCGGCGGCGGCGTTTGGTGCGGAGAACCAAGGCAACTGGGAGAACTTACTTCCGTACTAAAGTAGCGTCGATGGATATGCATGAACTAATGAACGCGATGCTGACAAATTTGTAAGGGGAAAAAAATTAGTTCAGATCATTTGGATAAAACTTTTAGTAAGGATTCATTTAATATTGGTTTAAAGTAATTGAGAATGATATAATAAAATATTTATTTATTTAATTTTATATTATTTTTATTTTAAAATAAATTTAAAAACCTTTAAATTTGATCCAAATTTTTTATTTGTTTGATATTTATTTTAAGAAGAATTTATATATAATGTTGGAATTCATATATGATGTGGGGATGGAATCTCGATGACGAGATTTAGGCTTCGTTTGGAACGATTTTTTTTATGTTTTTTAAAGCAGCTTTTTAGTACAAATTTTTTTTTTTAATTTTGTACTAGAAATCTGCTTTAAGAAGCAGAAAGAAAGCCGTCCCAAACAAAGCCTAAAAGGGGATGTGAGCATGATATTATTTTAGTTGATATTTAAAAATTTTAAGTATTTTGAGAGTAAATAGTAAAATTTATACATTAAACATTCAAATGATCTAATTTTAAGAGCTATAAAAGTAAAACCCTCTTATTTTAGAAATTGTGAGATATTTAATAGGTAATTATAGTATAAATAATCAAATATGCTTAATATATGACTAAATTACAAAATAATTTAAATAAATATATTAAAATAAAATAATTATTTATTTATTAAAATGAAAAGGGTTTGATTCTCACCTGCTAAGCTTTTTTTTTTTTTATAATTTATTTTTAATATTTTAATCCTGTGCAGGTAGTCCCCGACATAAAAAATTTTATCAATATTTTTTTATTATTTTTACGGATGCTAAACTACTCACCCATAATTCTAAAATTTTTATTTGTTTGTAGATTAAAAAAATATCAAACTCTATCTTCATCTTCCTTTCACCCTTTATTCTTTTTGGTGTCAATACCTTGAGACTTTTAAAATTAATGATAAATTAAAATAGCATTTTTCTTAAATATTAAGATATTTGGGTGTTAATTATACATTTATTAAATTATAGGTCAAATTTCATAACTTTTTCTTAAATATCAATCTTTAATATTTGTTTCATTTTTTTCTTTTATTCAATAAAATTGTATTAAATATTTGAATATAATATTTGTGTGGTGAATAAAGGGCTTTGTGCTGATAAGAGCTTTTGAAAAGGTAAGGAGAATTTGTTCTTTTCTGATGCTAAACTCAAGCTTTTTTTAATATACCGAATGCTGGTTAGTTTAAAATAGTATGATTGAAAAAATAAATAAATTTTGAGATATTCTTTTGATAAGTCTTAAAATGCTAGCATCTTCCTTAGGTGGGGAGTGAGGGTTTAAAACTCCAATGCTTGTTTTGCTCTAGTAGGGGTGAAGTAATAATCCTTTCACGCTACTAAGAAAATCACTTTTTACAGCACATTAATAAATTGACTTTTGTGGAGATTTTAATTGCCATAAAATATTTTGCAGCGGTTTCAAAACGGAACATGTTCGCTGTGATTAAAACATCAATGCTTGTTTTGCTCTAGTGGGGATCAAAGTAACAATCATTTGCTCTTTCACGCTACTAAGAAAATCACTTTTTACAGCACATTAATAAATTGGCTGTTGTGGAGATTTTAATTGCCATAAAATATTTTGCAGCGGTTTCAAAACGGAACATGTTCGCTGTGATTAAAACATCAATGCTTGTTTTGCTCTAGTGGGGATCAAAGTAACAATCATTTGTTCGTTGAAAGATTTGTCTTCATATGGCTCTTTCACGTCACTAAGATAATCACTTTTTACAACACATTAATAAAAAACCTTTTTTTTTCCTCTTTAAAAAGGATTTAATACAATGATGGAAAAGTTGCTGGTGGATTATTTGTGCTTCTTCTTTACTCTATTAAAGCCTTAAGGAATAGATTTATATGGGATTCCTAGGTTATGGGAGAATTTTTAGATGCATTCCTCTATTTTGATTTATAGGGACAATGATGGAAAAGTTTAAGCAATGATTTACTAAAGATGAAACTTCTTGTTTTACTTTTCTCAAACTTCTACTGACAATCATTCAGCTGGAACTATTTTTTTTGGTTCTAAAGTTAAATATTGTTTTGATTATTGGTTTTATCTCTAATAAATTATGCTACTTGTAATATGGAAGGTGGCACTAAATATTAATTATAATAATAGTGCTATGAATGTTATATCTACAAAAGGAGTTCCTAATGCAAATTTAAATATTGAGCCCCATCATACTCCATATCATTTTAGCTATGTAAATCACATCTCGCTACATATTAGTTTACTTTACCATGCTAAGAGTTAATGAAGATGACATGCAGTGTGATGTCCTCCCCATTAATATAATATATATTACCCTAGATAGTAATGATGTTTCATATTGATCTTATCCATTATAATAGGGACAACACACATTTTAAGCAAAAAGGGGACAAAATTAAGTTACTCTATGATTGCAACTCTTAGAGTTGTTTGATTATTTTTCACAACTTGAAGCATTTTAAGACAATTAAAACAAATTTAACATATAAGAATTATCAAATATAGATTCAGGGGGCATAAATTTGGGTCTTTAATAATATCATTTTATATTTTTAAAGAGAGAGAGAGAGAGAGAGAGAATCATGTATGAGCAAATAAATAATTTTCAATTCATAAAATCTCCTTCCCCTCTTCTTATAATAGACATAAGATGGTAAGATAAACATCTTAAATCTATTGAGTTCTATTTTTATTTTAAACTAATTTTTAATTCATAAATCTCCTCCTAGCACTCTTCTTATAATAGATGTAAGATGGTAAGATAAACATCTTAAATATATTGAGTACTAGTTTTAGTTTTAATTTCATTTCTCTCTCTCTCTCTCTCACCTCTTCCTCTATATCTCTCTCTCTCTCATATTTCCCTACTATACCTTTCTAACCAAAAAATTTCTTCAATATCAAGATGAAAGAGAATTGGATTGCTTATTATATCCATTTTACTTTGATATGAATCATCTTCTTCCTCTTATGAACTAGTAAGATATTCATTCTTCCTACCCATTGATCGTGTTAAATAAATTCTTACTATATATGATGCATTATTAAAGAACCAAACAATTCTTCATAAATTTTTATTTTAGGGGGGGGGGGGGATTTTAGGACCACGTATAATTTTCTTTGATATATCAAAATATTGCATATGAAATTACAAGATATGTCATTTAGTAGTTACAACAAAAATCTTACATGGGGGAGGGGGGATTTCAGGGCCACGTCCAATTTTCTTTGATATATTAAAATATTGCATATGAAATTACAAGATATGACATTTAGTAGTTACAACAAAAATCTTACAAAATATTGAAAAAGAGATAAAATAAAACAAACTATACAACATGGCAAATTGGCAATAGAAATACTTATATCCTTAATAATTTTAGTTTTCTTTAACACCTAATTAAACATCTATATACGATATTTATTTATGTATGTTTTTTTTCTAAATAACTCAAACCATTTATAGTTGTTACAAAATGTGTATACACTTCAAAGATATTTTTTGTTTAATGCAAAATAATTTATTTTCATGCATTAATGCATCAAAATGTTTAACGATATTTATACATTCATATGCAATAGCTTTGTTAGATTGAAGATTGGATATCCCCAAATATTTTCATGACTAAGAGAACAATACAAGCACATAATAGCCTTGGCATTAAGTTGATCAAAATTTTACATGAGTAAAGCCAATTTTAAGAATGGCTTCTAAATTTCAATACCCCAAAGAGTCTTGTAAGAATCTTGCCTTTCATAACTATGGCTTCATTTGTAACAGATTTCTTATTACTTTATAAAATAACTTTTTAGTATGAAAATTTCTTGAATAAGAATTTTTTGTACTAGAAAATAATTTTAAAAGCAATAAGAAAAATGTCGTAAACAAAATATAATTGCCGCACCATGGAATCCATAGAAAACAATATATATTGATCTCATTCTTGTAATAACTAAAGATGTATTATCAATCTTGCAACATTTCATCAATAAGAAAATCATTTGACAGTGGATTTATCTTTAAATGTTAATCCAAATAAAAGAGCTCTTGCAACATACGAAAATTAGGGGTGACATAGAATTAATTATTAAATATTTGTGTTGAAACCCTAAAAATGAGAGTGAAATGTGTTTGGTAAACAACAAAATCTTAAAAAGTATAACAATATGGTTATAAAAATAATAACATATTGGATATTTATTTATTCATTTTTGGCACCCAACAAAACTACATTTATGCTTAATTCTATATTTGTCTTAGGATTCCACTAAAACTTTCTTCATTGCTCCACTAACAAGTAATGAAATCATCTTAATTATGTACTCTCTTAATGGGAGAATATTATCAAATATAGTTCTATTCTAATACTTGATTTATAATTTTATAGCAAGATATGAATGAGATGTTGTTAAAACACAATCAATAGACCCCTTTAAATAGAAAATGCCACAACTAGAAATAATCTAATTGTATTGCTATGATGTAGAAACTTGGTTTGCAAGAGTTGAAACCCTTTGAGAGCTTTAAAATGAATTAGCTTTGGAGAGCAAGTATCCAAGTATTTTATAGTTGATTTTTAGAGATTTTTATAGCTAACAAACAAGGGAACAAATTATTTTAAAATCTATAAACACTATCTCAAACATTTTTGTTAAAACTTATAATCTCCTTGGTGCTTGCACTTTGCAAACATTGAGCCCTTTTACCTACAAAGTAACCAATAATAGTTAATCATATGTAAAATATTTGATGTTAAACTATTTAATGTATAAGTATGGAATGATATAATAAACTTTCATACATAGAAAGAATTATTTTAAAAATTAATTGACTCGCTCCTTGTTAATATGCCGTTTTAAAGATATATATATACAAATAACATTGAACTACGAAGTCTTAGATATAACAAAATACAATAAAATATAATTATGTTAACTCAAATTTGACTCTAAATATGATCCTAATGCTTTTACACAATAAGAACTTCAATAAATATGTAATCTTGATTTGAAAAAAATCTTTCAAATCTATGTTAAAATACATATCAAATCTTAATCATGTAAAAAATTATAAAATCCATAGTTCATACAATCATATATTTGTCATCATCAAAATAAGCATAATAACTCAATGGAAATTTGGCATCATAATCCAATGTGTAGGCTCAATGCATTAATTCTTGTCCAAGCTGGCTTCATTACACCTATATTATCTAAAACTTATTAAGGAACATGTTCAATGGAACTGAGCCAAATTGAAATACGATTTCATCCTTTCAAACAGTCTCAAGAGTCACCTATATCAACCTCATGGTCATTGAACTGAAGATCCCTTCTAAGACGAAAAGAAAGTTTATAACATTTAGGCTTCGTTTGAGATGGCTTTCTTATTGCTTCTTAAAACGGCTTTTCAATACTAAAAAGCTGCTTTAAGAAGCATAAAAAAAGCCGTTCCAAATGAAACCTTAGAAATATATAAGTAGCAACTTACATCATTAAATAGACCACCAAATCAAAATATATGGTGCTATTACCTAACATAGCTGCTCCATGCAATGCTGCTTGTCTCTTTGACCAACCAAAAATAATAAGGCTATTAATTATCTAAGGTATGGAGGCATTGTTTTCTTTCCTTGTTTTGCTTGGAATATGGAGGCACTGTTCCAACACAGGACCCACACTCACCCCATCAGAGGAAAAAGCAGAAACTAAAGCGCAGCAGTGAGACCAAGAGACAAAATTACCTAACACAAAAGTTTATTAGGGGCCCCCATATATAAATCCTGCACAAGATCCATTATTGATGAAAGTGTGTCGATTCTTTCCTAATCTATATGTTTTTAAAAGATGTTATCTTCTTAACTTCAACTGTAGCAATATCGTTTGATCTCCGAACCACACAAAAATCTCTGCTTTTTCGGTGATTTTTTTTTTTAATATTTCTTTACGATTTTGTTTCTAATAATTACATCCATGAAACTCAGCTACGATAGCAAAATCAAGCTCAGCCGGCGACAAACACATGCCATGGTTGCAGTAGAATGTCTCCAAATAGCTCAGTGATAAAAAAAGATGAAGAGGAACTGTGTATTAAAATGGAGGCAAAAATTATGGAAGCTTGATGACTCTGTTCTGTAAAACAGTATAGCGCACAATAGAAAGAAAAATGAAAGAAACTTCTGACTTCCCTATGATGACTGTCTTTCTGTCCAACATCTCTTCTCACTTCATCCTCTATTTGCAGCTCATCAACAATAGGCTGTTGGTGTTTATTGGCTGATCCTTAGCACTTATCTGCCCTTATTATTTTTAGCTTTTTAACTGAAGTTACAAAAAGTCTGCACACAAATAAAACAAAAGCTAAAACAAACTGTAATCAAAAGAAAAAAAAAACATGGATTCATAAAGCAGTTTTCTAGTACAGAAATTAAAATTTTTATACTAAAAAGTTGCTTTAAGAAGCAGAAAAAAAATCATCCCAAACAAAGCCGTAATCAAGGATGCATACTTCCAAGGCACATCTCCAACCATCATCCAATCTCCATCCTTGTCTTCGTACGTCAGCACATGAGCCTTGCTTGAAGGCACTTGGGCAAGTTCAGGGCCTTACAAACAAAATAAATGATTAGAGTTAATAAACCAACGAGGCCTTGCATAAAGAAAAACAATAAAAGTTTCTGAAGAGAAGTTAATGTGAGCTTCTTACAGATGATTTTGGTTCTGAACATGCGCCGAAGTGTTTTAATCAGGCTCTGGTAGCTATCATGAGCCAGTAAATCTAGCTTCCTTCCAATTGGAATTCCTTCCATGTAAACCTTGACAAAGAATTTCCCTGTTTTATGATGGTTTCTATAGGCTTCTCTCTCTGCAAGTGCACTTCTGAGAAGTGGCTTGATCGGAGGCCAATCAGGTAAGTGTTCCCTAGTGGTGGCCAACAACAGAAATACAAGAGCTTAGAATAAATATTGGCTCACTTGGTTGCTGTAATGCTTTCACATATAAAATATTTTTTTTTTGAAAAATAGATGATTTAGTTTTCATTTATTTTTAGTATGAATATGAAAACGTCACTGCTAAGTGGGTTTTGAGAAGATTTGAATGTTGCTGTAGAATTATATCTAACTATATTTATCCACTGATTAATCAAAATAACTTCAATCTTTTTTAAAAAAAGATTTCTAATTTCAGGCAATCAAACATGTGCTAATGCCTAGGCTTTGTTTGGGATAACTTTTTTGTTGACTTCTGAAGCAACTTTGGGGTACAAAAATTTCTAATTCAAAAAATATTTGTACTAAAAAGCTGCTTTAGAAAGTGGTAAGAAAGTTATCCTGAATTGAGCCTTAAGCTTTGTTTGGGACGATTTTTTTGTTACTTATGAAAGCATGTTTTAGTACAAAAATTAAAATTTTTATGGCAGAAAGTTGCTTTAAGAAGCAACTAAAAAGCCATCCCAAACAAAGCTTGTGAATATGAAAAGAATCATATTTCTAGTATAAAAATTTTAATTTATGTACTGCGAACCTTCGAAGCCAAGAAGTCATTGCTTGTGAATATGAAAAGATTCATATTTCAAATCATGAAAGGGAAAAGGGAGAATAGGTGGGCACTCAATGCGTTTTTAACTTCCGATAGAAGATGCAAGTTAAGTTTATTGAAGAGTGCGGGGCTGAAAGTAAGTCGGTATAAATAAGACAGAGATTGTTGGCTTCATTAAGTAATAGATAAAAGAGAAATTGAAAAGATCTGAATTTTTTCATTTTCTTCAACTGAAAATTTTATCGTTAAATTTAGGGAAAATAATACGAAAGGAATTTGGAGAAAAATGATTTTTGATTTATTTTTCTATCAGAAACTAGATGGGTGTTTTTATTAAAACTATTCACATTTATAAAAAAAATTTACAAAAGAACAAAAATTCATTATTTTTCTTGCGAAAAAATTCAATATCTCAGCAGTTTTGATAAAAACAGATTACCTGATTTTTAAAGAAAATATTAGTATTATCAGCAAACATTTCACCTGATTTCTAAGGAAGCAGAACAGAAGTATAAAACACCGCAGCATATAACTTCTATATGCATTGAAAAATGTTCTCGAAGGATTCTAAGCTGAGAAGAAGAAACCAAAACAGAGGGATTCTGCAACATCAAGAAGCAAAGAAAGAAACAATCACAGGTTCAGAATAACACACCTTAGATTCAGAGAAGTTCTTTGAGATGCAGAGTTTGATAGGCCAAGCCTTAAATCCGTGCTTAAGTCTCCCTTAGCGGCCAGAGAGGAGGAGGATTCAGAGGAGAGAGATGGCTCACTACTACTATCTATAGAAGAAGAAGGGGAATTTCCTTGCTCTTCCATCTCAACAAACAAAGAGTTATACGGGCAGTTATCTTTCCCCCAGCTTTTATATCAAAAATAAACAGCAGGTACCAAGAGAGAATAGGTGTCAATATTGGACCCTATCCAAACCCGAATTCGGGTTCAATATTGACACCTATTCAAAAATCGGGTCGGGTTTGGGTTGACCCGTTGAACCGAAATTGACCTATTTTTATATGAAAACCCATTTTGACCCGGCAACCAGAGATTGACCCATTTTTTATCCGAAAAGTGGTGATTGACCCTTTTTTAGACTCGAAAACTAGCAGTTTTTTGTCCGTCCCGGGTCATTCGGGTTGGGTCGGGTTCTAGTCCGAAAAACCTACCTATTTGTAAAAATGGATCAGGTACGAATTGACTCGAATAGTGCCAAGTCAGATTCGGATTCAACCCGAATCCCACCTGTACCCTAAAATTGACACCCCTTGGGAAGAAAGAAAAAAAAAAAAAAACAACGAGAAAGGGTCCTTTTTCTTCCTTTTTATTAAATGAAATTAATGGGCATGAAAGCTTTTTTTTTTTATCATAAATAGGGCGGCATGCACACATGGCATCAAATAGAACGGCTAGCCTATGACGCCTTGTCCTGTTAGTCATATCCTTGGCTGAAAAACTTCCACTTCACTTAAAATATCTCCTCTTATTGCATTATTCCATTTGGCACTCTTCATAATCATTGAAATAATTGCATCAGATTATTACTTATGATTCCTTATCTTGCAAGTCAAAGAGGAAGAAACCTTCATAATGTTTTGAGAACTAAACATCAACATGTTTGCCATGTAGCGTTAATGTTTTGTCGTTGGTTCAGCAAGGCAAATTTGAATTGGCATAGGCAGTTATTGCTGACCTATGTTGGAGATACGGTGATACGGAAACAACACGATACGAATACGGGACACATCAATTCTTAAAAATACAGAATACGAATACTGTGTGGGCATGACATTATAATTTATAAAACATACATAAAAATTAAGAAAGCAATCAAAGCATAATATTTGAAATTACAAAAAAAAAAAAAAATGAAAGTAACATCATTTGTAGCCTTGTAGCTTATAATATTAAAATAAAAGTAAGCATTAAATGTCTATTACAATAACAAAATCATAAACATAAATTGTCTAGCACATGAAATTTCAACTAATGAATAGAAGGAATGATATGATTATGTTACTAAGTGGTTTGTCTTTGAACTTCTATATCATCTTTAATAAATATCATAACTTCTAATTCAGACTCATCAAGTGAAAGATTAGCAATTTCTAATATTCTTATATTATCAAGAGACTCAAATCCACCTCGGAAATGATAGAACCTCGCTCGCAGCTACGGAAGTAAATAAGAGGCATCTTTTTCCGATTTTTTTTTGTTTTTCAACGGACACGCATATATGATATGCATGTCATTTTAAATTAAATAGTATTTTAATTGCTGACACATACGACGCCGTATCGGTGGCGTATCCGTGTATCGGTGTATCAGATACAGCACGTCTTCATAAATAAATGTATCTGTGCAACATAGTCGCTCACCGTGGTCACCATCATCATCAAGTAAAATGTGATTACTTTGAAATGCCAAATAGATTTGAACCTCGAAAAGAAATCGAAATCGACTAGATCGATCAAGCCCACCACATATAAAGACCCAAGCTCATGTATTAACTGGATCTTTATCATCTTTAGCCTCATACCAATAGTTTGTAGTCAGCAGCAAGAAACCTTTCCATTCATCTAAATTAATCTGCCATAACTAAGAAAGAATGTCAACATCGAGAACTGATCGATAAGGCAGAAAAGTCTTGGCTCAGGCTGAACCATTGAGGCACACTAATTGCGACAATGACATGCCAACTACTATTCTAGGCCAATAAAGCTCAGTCCATGCAATCACAAGGAAATACTCAGAATTGGTTACTAAAACCCAGACACCATAAGCACGCCTCCAATGAAAAATAGCAGTTGAAAACGACAAGCCATTTGACATGGGCAGACAACCGACATCTTTTCTTTCTCTTTTCCTCCCCCTTACAAAGTACAAACAATAAAAAGCTTTGTTTGTTCTCTATCTTCATGCTTTCTTAACAAAATTATTAACTACCCGATCGCTCTTCCTCATACCATTTTACATTAAAAACTAAAACACTAATTAATGAAGCGTCGCATATATAAAGCATGGGTAGTGACGTTGTTAAGTACCTTACAAAGATGATTAATTTCTATAAAATCGGTAGTAATCAGATTTTTAAATTGCCAAATTTTTTTATTAGAAAGACTCAGTCCTATTGGTTATACTAGAAGGAATCCAATGCATTTGAAATGTGTAAGCAATTCTTGATTTGAAAGAGCTTATGCTAATATGAAAAACGGTTCTTGTAGTTCATTTGTCAAATATGTAATCGGATTCTCTAATAAAAATTTTAGTTTAAAAATTTTTTATAGTAAAAAGTCATCCCAAGCATCAATCTTATACATTTTAAAGGGCTAGTTAGGAACAATTATTTCTCCTTTTTACAAAAATCATTTGAACTTTAAATAATTTAATTTCAGTCATCTTGTTGATTTTCAATGACTAGGATGAAGGTATAAATGAGGAAGAACAATAGCAATTAATGAGTATCCCTATTTAATAAGTCTCCATCTCAATTTCCATTGATGGTTATGCATCCATGTGGGGTGTGCAGTGCTTTCAAGCACACGAATTTATCTGTAGAGCTCAATTGACTTTGAAAAGGAGCAATTTTCCTCTATGAAATCTCATTGATAGCAATTTGTGCCACAATTAGCCCATAGAGTCAAAAGAAAATTACAGAAATGTTAGAATGAAAAGAGGGAAACAACATTTTAATGAAGAAAATTATATTCACTCAAGGTCATTTATGTCAAAACATCGAGATGGTAGAATCATACATCGATCATTAGAAAGAAGAAAATTTATATTGTGTGCCAGAACATTTGTTGTAGTAGAGAGATATAGTTTAATGTCTTAGCATTATATAAAGATCCAACACACAAACATATAAGCGAGGAGTGCAATAATTGTAAATGACACTAAATTTTTAAGTAAAAAAGCTAAAGGGAAAAATCATGTGGCTTGACCCAATTAAAATGATTTTAGTAGTACTTTTCATCAATTACAAATGACATCCTTCCTCGAGAGAATACATTGATACATTGTAAAAAAACTTATTATATGATTGCAGTTGGAAGAGCTCCATGGTAGGGGAGCTATTTTTAATAGGTTATATGCTTGTTGTTTTGGTTGTACTCCCTTGAGATGAGAAGACTAGAAACTATGAAATCCAACATAAATCTAAGTTTTGATATTGGTGGTGTGTATTAATCTCATAAGTGACGACGTGTGTTGGCATTATTGGTGAGGGTAGATGAAGAAGTTAGTAGGCTTCAGAGTAGCCAAGTGACATTAGTTTGCTGATTGTAGGTCGAAGGAATGTAGTTTGACAATGGTGGTTAGACGATTGTAATAGATGGACAACGAAGGTTTAAGGACCGTAGTCGGATGATGGAGATTGGAAGACCTCAGATAATGCTATTCCAAGGACCGTAATTGGGCTGTGGTGGTCGGATGATTGTAGTCGGTGGGCGACAGAGGATGAAGGATCATAGTCAGCCTACAAAACCCCTTAAGAAAATAAAGCTAAACTTTTAAAATATTAAGTTGCCTTTTAGTGTAACAGTTAAAGTTTTATTAGAAACTCCAAAGTTAAGCATGCATACATAGGAGAACTCCTAGGATGGGTGACCTACTAAAAAATTACACCAATGAGATAAAATCGTAAGGTCATTAGGCCAAAGTAAACAATATCTCAATGATTGATTGTTTGGGCGGTTACAAGTGGTATTAGAGCCAATCTATTTTGTGTTTGATATCCCTTGGTTCTTCTAGGATTGGGTAGTGGGTTAGATTATCTTAGGTTATTCTTAATAAATAATATTATATTTTAATATGTATATTTATATAGTTATAGATGTCTTTTAATTTGATTTACTTATATATTTATTCAGAATGGCCGCACAGAGAAGAGGAATGTTGCCGCCTCCTATGAAACTGATTGCCCGAGAGTTACCGCGAAAGCTAACCGATATGATTCTACGAGGATCTCACTTTCATATCTATCAAGGTGGTGTAATCCCTACCCCACATATCACTGCACATAGTACAATGATCATAAATATAACCACTCATCTTACTCAAGCGGTGCAGGCAATTCATCAAGTCACTTAACATATGTCATAACCAACTCAACAAACACCACCACTAGCTCAACAAGAAGCTATAAGAGTGCCAACTGCTGCCACATCTATGGCAAATCAATCAAAATTAAGTAATATAATGGATCAAATTTATTTATTGACTTATTTATTCAACCTAATGATCAAAATTTTAAAATATTGCAAGTCATTCCAATTAATGGAGAAATGATAGATCACTTGATGAATTAATTCCTGAAATACTCATCCTCTAATATTTAAGATAGTGGGGCCAAATGTGTCAGATGCATGGCTTCATGATATAAAAATGGACTTTGAGGTATTAAATACCCCAAATAGTGAAAGGTAGATATGGTTTCATTTGAACTACAAAACGTTATTGATCACTCATGAGAGAGAAGTCGATAACATAATTTTAGACCATATGTAGTGATTTATTTGTGCTGTTTTTAAGAGACTATTTCTGAAGCCATACTTCCCTATGTTAGACCTTGCAAAGCTAGTGAATTACTTGGGAAAGTTAGAATATGAACCAGAATAGTTCAAGAATATGAGATGTAATTTGAAGGAATCATTAGCTTTTTCCTATCCATTAGCCAACACGAAGACCAAAAAATCTCAACTTTATCTTTTGACTTAGATAGGATATAAAGAAATGTTTATCTTTAGTCAAGTGCACTACATTAAGAGAGTTGGTTAACCAAGTTGTTTACGTAAAAATAGAGTTAAAAGCGTGCCAAGAAAAAGCTGTTGGAAAATGAAAATTCATAAATAATCAATTATAGGGTGATTCATAGAATAAGCAATGCAATAATAATTAAAGGAAAAATTCAAACCATAATTCTTATTGTATTTATTGTAGTAAATGACATTCAGAGACTTGCAATTTGGTGATAAAAAAATATTTCAATTGTTACAAAAGTAAGCATAGGGCTAGAGACTATCCACTTAAGGCCCAAGATTAGTTGAATCCTATGGCTGCATGAGATAACTTCAAACGTCCACACTAGAATATGTGGAGTAAATCATATGGAGATATATACCATAAGAAGAATAAAAAAAGGACAAGGCAAACAATATTACTCATAGCCTCAATAACAAGTATAGCAAATTCTGGCTTTTGAAAAGAAATAGTAAAAAAGAAAAAAAAATCAAATTCTGGCTTCTTAATTAATTTTACTCAGAACACCATGTCTCTTAGTACCAATGGTAATAACCCTTGATGTTATATCAACAATAGCAGCAACAAATGGTGTTGTATCATACAATACAACCTCAGGTGCAGGAGTAGCCCAAACAAGCAATTCCATCTCATGTTTTCATAATGACTTGGACAAAGGTTCGATAAGGTCCTGATGTAGTGACAAACAGAAAAGGTTTTATTTAATTCTGGGGCATCACATTCATTCATATTAGATAAGATTGCATTGAATTCTTTAGTATCTTAATTGTAATCTCATTTGTCTATTAATATGTCATCAAGAGCATTAATGATGGTTACTAAGTGTGTTCATGATTGTGATATTATTATCAACGATGTGCATATGCTTGCAACACTCAGTGTATTTATATTAGCTAAATTTGATGTAATATTGGGAATGGAATAGCCATCTAAATATCATACCATAATAGATTACCATAAGAGAAGTGTGAATTTTCATATACCATGTGTAATTTTCTTTAATTTAATGGCGTCAAAGGAGTATTATCATATCTTATATCTACAATTAAGGTTCACAAGATGATCTATCGTTGGTGTGTTTGGTATCTTGCTCATATAGTCAATGCCATGTGTAATTTCCTTTAATTTAATGGTGTGTTTGGTATCTTGCTCAAGATAAAGATCAGTTTAAATAACGTCTCAATAGTCAAAAAATTTGTACATGTACTTCTTAATGCCTTGCCTGCATTGCCTCTTGATTATGAGATCGAGTTCACCAAAGATTTAGTTTTGGATACCACTCCAATTTTTAAAGCTTTGTATCGTATGGTAAAAGTTGATCTTCAAGAGCTCAATGTACAATCGCATAAATTATTCTATAAATGATTCATTAGACTTTGTATCATGTCATGGGGAACACTGGCTTTGTTTGTGAAAAATAAGGATGAAAGTAAGAGATTGTGCATGGACAACAAAGAGTTGAACAAGGTCAACATAAAGAATAAGTGTCCTCTGCCTTGCATTGATGACAAGTGTGATCATTTACATGGTTCTTCTATATTTTCAAGAATTGACCTTCATTAAGGATATCATTAATTGAAGATCAATAATAAAAATGTATTAAAGTCAACTTTCAATATTGATATAGTGACTACAATTTTTTTGTTATGCGCTTTGGTTTGATAAATACCTTTGTTACTTATATGTATTTGATGAACAATATTTTCAAGTCTTGTTTAGAATGGTTTATGATTGTATTCCTTAATATATTTTGATCTATTCCAAGAGTGATGAGGAGCATGCTCGACAACTCAGAACAACATTGAATATTCTTTAAGAGAATAAACTTCATGTGAAATTCTTATTGTCAATTTTTTAATGTACCAAATTATCATATTTGGAACATTAAACTCCATTATGGTTATACAAAATAGGTGACTACCAACAAAAGTGGGGTAATATTTATCCTATCACCTACCTTGGGGATAATTCTATGGCAAAGGACATATTGAATAACACTTGAATTCAACACCATGGTGCTGACTAATGGCTGATGCTGAGGTAGTGGGGAATTCCTTTGGGTCTTATTAATGGTGAACTAATTATAGTGCAAATCAATTGAGATATTGTGGGGTTTAATTCTAATGTTAGAAATGTCCAAGTACTTGTGTAAATCTTGGTTAATTATGACTTCTTATTAATGGAAAACAAAAGAATGCATTGAAGCCCTATCACAGATGAATTTAAGGTTGGTAAAGAATTATAGAAGAAGTTCAATGTTATAGGAAAAGTGAGAGATAATAATTTGTAAGGTTGTGCCAATGCCTAGGTCAAATATCAAATATCCTAATTACTCTCAATTTAATACTTTTGAATTATTTATGGTTGCTTCATAATATTACAAATAAGTTTTAGCATTCTCATCACTTGCAAATTAGACATCTCACTGGGGTCGGAAGCTTACAAGTATCATTCCTCACTTATTTGCCATCTAGAAAAAGATTGGGAGTATTGCACTAGCAGTAGGAAATATAGATTAATGTGTTCGAAATTGAGAAACAATATTCCTCTTATAGCCTCTCTTTGATTATGCTGTCTGATCGGACATCGTACAATATGATCAGAACATGCCAAATTATCCCATCAAATATTATATGAGGACTAGACAAATCATACAGTTTGATCAGTATCAAATAGTACGATCTTTGACTTTTGATCATCTTTTAGTATAATTGGCCAAACTTTTTGACTAAGTCAAATCGTTCAGTATGAATAGATATTTATACAATATGATTTATAGTAGTGGTTCATCTTAAGCTATTAATATTGTAATTAATATCATTACTATCCCATTTCTAAAATACATTATACATTTACAAGTGACGTTCATACAATACAATATGTAATAAATTTTTTCCCATCCTGTGAAGTATGCAATGATGACCTCAAGATTTGTGGTGGTCCATACTTATCATATAGCACAAGTGGGGTTTGTATGGTACGATGTGATGAAAAATTCTTATTTTTTATTAATTAGGACATTTTGATTTATGCAAATAATAACATCAACATATAGTAATCACATAGATATAAGTGAGAAAGATAAGACACAAATACATTAAACACATAAACATGACACAAAAAAACACATAAATTAAAAAAAAAAACAAAAAATAGTCAGAACAAACACACAACATACACACAAATTAAAAATTAGACCTATTAGTTTATGATCTTAAGTCAGTTATTCCTAGTTTCATCTGGAGTGTGCTAAACCTCTCAAAGTGAAAGGCCTTTATAAAAAAAATGTCTGCCAATTGATTTTCAATATCCACATCCCTTTTTTATATATGATATGTAATGAAGTGATACCTACTGTCAATGTGTTTAGTGGTGGATGCTTGGGTTTTTATTGATGCATATCACACCAATGTTATCACACATTATAGGTAAGCCAAAATCAAGGAGCTGTTGTTTCAACCATATGACTCGGGCAACATAACTTCTTACAGTTATATATTCTACCTTAATAGTGAATAGGGATATAGTGTTTTACTTTCTATCGGATGAGTAAACTAAAGATTGTCTTATAAACTAACACATTCTAGAAATATGTTTTATATATTCTACCTTAATAGTGAAAGGGCTTTGACATTATAGAACCACCATTAGCAACATCGATGATTGATATAGGGGAACCTATAAGATTATTATAAAATGTTCAAATAATTAACCAATTAAGGAATGCATGATGAGGACATTTCATTGGGAGTTCTTCAAATCTCTCCCATGATTCATAAATAGACTTATCATCTAACTAGATAAAAGATGTGATGTCATTTCTATGCTTTGTAGTTTTATATGGTGCAAAATATTTAGCTAAAAATTTAGGGGCTAAGTCATTCCAAGTTAAAATTGAGCCTAGAATCATGAATTTAACCACATCTTAGTTTTATCCCTAAATGAAAATAAGAGCAACCTTAGTCTAACAACATCATAAGAAACATCGTTATATTTGATGTTTTCATATATATATTTCAAGGAAACTAGTTATATACTTATTAGGGTCTTCTATTGGTGTCACCCAAAACATAGATTTTTACACCATTTGAATTATTGTATGTTTGAATAAAAAATTGTTGGCCTGAATGAAATTTCTATTTATACTTTGATGAATAGCTTCAACCATAGGGTTATTGTATTCCCTAAGCAACTGGGTTGATCATTTTCTAGAAGTTATTTAGCCATTTTAAATTTTTAGAAGGGTCTTTTCAATTTTAATGTCAAACAAAAGTTATATAAGTTGATTATTACTATGCATGTAATATTAAGCAACATAATAGAAAATGGGCAAAATACTAAATAGTCACAATTAGTCAGAAAACAAAGCAAAGCAGCACTTAGTGGGTAATGTTAAAAAACCTAAATTAAACTAGTAATTTGTTTAGGAATATAAAATGCTAAATAGGATAATAAATTTCAGGTGATTGTTTTCCTAGCTACGATGCTAAAAACTTGATAAGTATCTTTGTAGGTGCTCCTAATTTTGAGCTTTTTGCTATAGCTTACACACACTATTGAGTTCTCTAAATATGTTTAATTTGCTATGGTGTAAGTCCTATTTTATGCAAGTTCATGTGTCATGTCAAGTAATATAATGATGAGAAGAGTATCATCCCCATGGAGAAAGCTTGAAATTTCCTTGATTAACTTTAATGCTACCTATTGGACTATTATGTTTTTCTATCCACTGACAAAAACTAGATTTTGCAGTTTAAAGTAAAAAAGTTTCAAATGTAGAAAATAAATTTACTATTTAATAAAGTTCTGAACCTATAATATTTAAAAACACATGATTGCATAAGAGTGATTTTCTACTTATTATTGTTATGAATCAGAGTATAAGCACTCTTCATCTTTATAGAGCTAGTTGGAGTATTAGCTAAGATTCCTCCTAACTACGGTGGTTCTATCTCCTTAAGATTAAAAAATCCAAACCACTATATGTCTATGTTATGACAAGATTATATTTTAATAGTCTTAATTATTCTTATATTCCTCCGTCGAGGCTTTGAATCACACTAAGTTTTAACTTTATTTTTGACCTAAACATAAATTGAATGAAGCTTTGAGGAATTTAAAAACATTATGAATTCATAATAAAACATTATGAAAAACATGTAACACAACACAAACATTTTACTTCACTTAACAAAATAACAAGTTACAAACTTTAAAACAAAGGAAAAATAATAGAAGAAAGGTTAGAAATGACTCGGATCCAAGGTGCCGACTCCTTTGCACTTCTCCGCTTTGGTCTGCACTAGTATAGCGCGTGCGCGCACACACACACACACTATGCTCACACTCACTCACACATACACGCACACACACATGACTCCACAATAAATGGTGGTGCTACATCACTTGGTGAAGCTTTGGCATTTTGATGTGACTTTCTGGCTCTATGACGCTGGTTTAATATTTATGATTTTTAACCTATGTCATGCACAAAAATAATTGTAGAGGTCTGCCAAAACATGAATCAAGAAGAGCCAAAATAGAATCAGTCACCTTTGAAATAATTAGGATATACAACTGAATTAGGAAGAGAACCATGACTTTACTAGCCATCAAACCATTGCTAAAAATTTTAGGCTGCGGCTTCGTTTGGGATGACTTTTTTACTGCTTTTTAAAATAGCTTTCGAGTATAAAATTTTAAATTTTATTCTATAAAGATGCATTAATAAGCAATAAAAAAGCAATCTCAAACGAAGCTTGAGCTAAACTTGGATATTATCTTTAAGTTTATCCCCATTACAATGAAAAACCAATACATTATAGATCCAAACAATGATCCAAAGTAGATAGAAAGTCAAAATCATCCCACCTCAAAATTAAAGAATTTTTACTTCTAAACTAAACTTTCCTTTCGCCAGTCTGTCTTTATCTTTAGAAAAAAAAAAAGTTTTTGAAGTTTATTTGCATCATAAGTAACCTTATTGGATGTCTTCCTGTAGCTCATTTAAGTAATTTGTATCTTTCTCAGCCAAAACCTTATCCGAAAGGAAGGTTCCTACAGTTTTATACTCTGAATGTTGTATTTTATATGGAAAGCATTGCTGAAGGGGTTAAACAAAGCAATTGTTTCCTTAAAAGCCTTATATGAAGGTTCCATTATGTGATCTGTTGAGTATAAATCGTACATAGAATTGGCTAATCATTATAATGCTGATTACCCATATACAATACTAAATTTAATGGATTCAATATGCTTCGTTATATATATTGTAGTTGCTTAACAAGGCTTAATATGTTTATTATGTCATCAATCATCTTACTTGTTAGATCAAACCAAAGCTTTTTTAAAAGATATTCAAGTGTTGATGAATATAAGTTTGTGTGTTCTTCGTTATTTGTAACATATTTTACAAAATATTTCAGGTTTTTTAATAAGTACTTTTTTGTTTTGAATTTCTTATTGTATAATTGCACTCAAGGTTTTAGGGATTTAAGTGTGAGAGTAAAAAATGGAGTTTCATAGTTTTGGAAAACATTGCTTTGAAAATTATTAAACTCTTTTGAGAAGGTATAGCAAAATTTTTTATAGATTTTTTGGGAGGTTTGCAGTAGCAAAGCTAGGTTCATCACAACATGTTAACAAGGTCATGTAAGGGTTTTATTTGCCCTGTGAAGGAGTGCATATTATGATAATAAAGCAAATTTTTAAGAAGTGGAGGTCTATGTATGGAATTTGGCCATGTAACAGTTGAACACTGGAAAATTTTTGTTTCATTATGTAAAACCCTTAAAAGTTGATTTTTTTTAGTGCAGTTCGTCCGTACGAACTGGATTTAGTACGGGACGAACTGAAGAAATTTGTGAAGAATCTGTCATTTTCGTCTGTACGAACCTGGAAGGGTCGGGACGATCAGTCTGGACGAAATTTGTCCAGAGAGCAAGTCGTCCGGACGCATTTTAATTTCGTCTGTACGAAATTCTGCCCGAGGCAAATCGTCCCGGGACGAATTTTGGATCGTCCGGGACGATCAGTGTTGATAAATATTGGATTTGAGATATTTTGGATCATTTTGAAGAGAGAGAAAGAGAAATCAGGAGAGATAAAGAGAAGGAAGAGAAGGAAAAGCTTGGTTTTGGAGCCCGCGGAGCGCTTTTCGTCCAACGACGCAGTTGGAAGATTTGTTTGTCTCACAGTAAGGACTCCGAATCCTATTTCTGTTTTCAAAGATTTCGAGTTTTGATATTTCTGTGCTCA